GTTTGATTATCTACTGTAAAAAGATGAGCAATATGAATAATTGTATATAATACCTATTATTAATTAAGTGGTGACTTATAATGTAAATGGAAATTATGTGTACATGTTGAACTAAAATAAAATAAATTATTAGAAAAAAAAAAGAAAGAGATTCAGCCTTATATTGCTAGTTTAGTTTTATGTTTTTCTTTTTCTTCTCTTGTGTTTAACATGCTAAGCAACGGTCAGCATGGAAAGGGTCTAGTTTCTAGAGCCTACCCCATAAATTGGGCAACATAGGATGGCAAAGATATGTGTCCTTTCACCTACTGAGTTATGAGTTATTTTAGTGCAAGTTACGTGACAATACCGTGTCTTCCACTGCATTAACTGTAGAGAAGGGAAGGACATTGCAGTGTCAAATCTGGGCTGAGTAATCAACTATGACTCGCTTATTAACAATGATGACTCTTAATAAGTGTGGCTAAACAATGGTAAACACCCAAGACAAGAAAGTCAGTATTAACACACACTCTATATGCACAAGTTCACCATTTCTGGTTCAAAAAGGCTAGGGGTTTCTGGGTTCACCTGTTGAATAGTATGTAAAAGATTTCATAAAGTATAACATTAAACTTCACCAACTTTAATTCTCATTCTCTCTCATACACTGACCTGAACATTGTCTTTCAAACTGGGTCCATACATACACACGCACACACCTGTCCCCCCCCCCACCACACACACCCACCACCACCACCACCATATTTAGGTACACATTTACAAAACGTATGAGAATAGATAACTGTGCCTCAATATTTTGTATGGGAGTTTCCTGGACCTGAGAGCCAATGTAATCGTGTGTATGTTTTTACTGTAGTCTACTCTCAGGTCCAAGGGGGAGAGCCCCTTGCATGGGGACCTGAATATAAGGCCAGTTGTGGCTGCCAATAAACATATTCCAGCTTGTACTCCCAGTACTATGTGTCATCTGGTTACTGGGAAAGGAAAGGTCAACTCACTGTTCCAGCTTGTTCCAGCATGGAGGATTCAGCGGGGAAAATCCTTGTTAGGACTAGAGCTCCCAGGACTGAGTGTCATCCAGTGCCTGGAGGTGTCTAGAGCGAATTCCCCATTCGGCTCTAGGATGAAGTGGTTCCAGGACCCCAGTCAAGCCCAGGGCCGTCTTTAACGCGGGGCAAACGGGGCAGCTGCCCCGGGCCCAGTTTCTCTTGGGGGGCCCGAGGCACCTGCCCCGTGGGCCCCGCTGCCCTCATCAATTAATTTTTTTCCCGTCCCACCGGGTGGCCCATGCACTTAGGGCAGTGACGTACATACCAGGGTCGCGGCTGCGACCCTGGTATGTAGCCACAGGGCCAGCCTCTTCCCCTGGGGGGGCCCAGGAGGCGGCCACCCCAGGGCCCCCCGAGGCTGGCCCTGCTGACCCCGGCGGGCGGGTGGCCGGTCGGGCAGGAAGGCGGGCGCGCGAGGGAGCACTCACTGCTTCCTCTTCAGCTCCCTCGCGCACCGCACTGATGCCGGAGCCGGAAGATGACGTCATCTTCCGGTGCCGGCATCCCTACGCGGCGCGTGAGGGAGCTGAAGAGGAAGCAGTGAGTGCTCCCTCGCGCGCCCGCCTTCCTGCCCGACCGGCCACCCGCCCGCCGGGGTCAGCAGCACCACTGGACCCCAGGGAATCCCCCCAGCACTCTAAAAGGTAAGGAGGCTGGGGGGATTACATTTAAAAAAAAAAAGGGTGTTTATGTGTTTGTGTGTTAGTGTATGTGTGTTAGTGTGTGTTTGTGTGTTAGTGTATGTGTGTTAGTGTCTGTGTGTCAGTATGTCTGTCTGTGTGTCAGTATGTCTGTGTGTGTTTTTGTCAGTATGTCTGTCTGTGTGTCAGTATGTCTGTGTGTGTTTTTGTCAGTATGTATGTCTGTCTGTGTGTCAGTATGTCTGTGTGTGTTTTTGTCAGTATGTATGTCTGTCTGTGTGTCAGTATATCTGTGTGTGTGTGTTTCAGTATGTCTGTGTGTGTGTGTCAGTCTGTCTGTGCATGTCAGTATGCCTGTCTGTGTGTGTGTGTAGTATGTCTGTGTGTGTGTGTCAGTATGTCTGGCAGTATGTCTGTCTGTCGTCAGTATATATGTGTGTGTGTATATCTGTGTGTGTCAGTATGTCTGTCAGTGCGTCAGTATGTCTGTTAGTGCATGTGTATGCATGTGTCAGTATATCTGTCTGTGTGCCAGTATGTCTGTGTGTGTGTGTCAGTATATCAGTCTGTGTGTGTCAGTGTATGTGCCTGTGTCTGTGTGTCAGTATGTCTGTCTGTGTGTCAGTATGTCTGTGTGTGTTTTTGTCAGTATGTATGTCTGTCTGTGTGTCAGTATGTCTGTGTGTGTTTTTGTCAGTATGTATGTCTGTCTGTGTGTCAGTATATCTGTGTGTGTGTGTTTCAGTATGTCTGTGTGTGTCAGTCTGTCTGTGCATGTCAGTATGCCTGTCTGTGTGTGTGTCAGTATGTCTGTGTGTGTGTGTCAGTATGTCTGTCTGTCTGTGTGTCAGTATATATGTGTGTGTGTATATCTGTGTGTGTCAGTATGTGTGTGTCAGTATGTCTGTCAGTGCGCCAGTATGTCTGTTAGTGCATGTGTATGCATGTGTCAGTATATCTGTCTGTGTGCCAGTATGTCTGTGTGTGTGTGTGTCAGTATATCAGTCTGTGTGTGTCAGTGTATGTGCCTGTGTGTGTGTGTCAGTATTTCTCAGTGTATGTGGGTGTCAGTATATCTGTCAGTGTGTGGGTGTCAGTATTTCTGTCAGTGTGTGGGTGTCAGTATTTCTGTCAGTGTATGTGTGTCAGTATGTTGATCAGTGTATGTGTCTGTGTGTGTGTGTCAGTATGTCGGTATATGTGTCTGTGTGTCAGTATGTCGGTATATGTGTCTGTGTGTCAGTATGTCTGTATATGTGCCTGTGTCAGTATGTCTGTCAGTACGTCTACCAGTGTATGTGTCTGTGTGTGTCAATATATGTACCTGTGTCAGTATGTCTGTCAGTGTATGTGCCTGTTTATCTGTATGTAGTCAGTGTATGTATCTGTGTATCTGCTTGTGCGTCAGAGTGTGTACCTGTGCATCTGAGCCGCAACTTTAAATACAAATACACCCCTCCATTCAAACTTCAACACTACATATAAAACACACTCCTGCATTGAAACGTCAACACTACATACAAGCACACTCCTACATTCAAAAACAAACACTACACATAAATGCACACTTGCATTCAAACTCCAGTACCACATACAAACACATTCACACAAACATACTCCATACAAACACATGCTTACATTCAAACATACAAACATGGCTCAGTGCTAAATACAACCCTGCAAGCATGGGAAATTGGTAGAGTCCCAGCTGTCAAAGCATTGTTGGAGTTGCACGACAGATGGGGTTCTACCTTTAGTCCAACCTTGCAATTGGGGTCCCAATAAAATTCATTCTACTTTAGTACCGCCACTGCGTTGGGATGGATGCCGTGATTGCATACCAGGGAGTGAGGGGCGAGAGCGGCAGGGCCCAGGGGCCCAAGCAAACACTTGCCCAGGGTCCATTCGTTATTAAAGACGGCCCTGGTCAAGCCACGTGACCGTGGGCAGAACTGCTGCGCTTTGTCCCCTGTTCCAGCAAGGAAGCGGTCCTGGTGGAGGTACCCAGCCGGGGTACAGGGAGCCAAGTTACAGTATATTTTGGGGAATGTAGATTCCCAAGATGGTAGGAGAATGTAAAATTATATGGGATCATAAGGTCCACTATGAAGACAGTTACCTATCTAAAAACAGACACCCAAATGTCTAAGGCAATTACCAGAGGCTACTGTCACCTTGATCTAGGCCATGATTCTTCCAAAACACCCTCACTACTTTTTGCTCCTTTCCTTTATTTTATTTTCAAGACAACTGCACATATTAGATACCTGTGTGGTATGCGAGAGGGAACATGAAAATGACACAGTCCCTATGTACAATGCAGAGAATCCTAAGAGCTCTAAATGAGAATACGGTTTCATAGCCAGGTTAGGACCAGAACTTGAGCTCTGGTAAATAATTATATTGTACTATATTTCAATTTCTATTCTAATGAGAAAAAAGCAATGATATATAATTGGTAATAGTGATTTTGTTTTTGTTATGGATGACCCTTGCAAATCACACATACACACCATTCAAATAACTGCAAATTAAATAAATTCGGTTTGGGGTTTTTTCAAAAATGTTTATTTTATAATATAACAAGAATAAATTAAATAGTGTCAGTCCAAAGCAATAATAACATTTTACAATATAAATATACATCAATACTGGCTGCGTTGTAAGAATACGTATAATGCAGATAAAATGTACTCTATATATACATACACATCTTTTATATATATATATATACACACATGTACTTATTTTAGTTAGATAAGATATGTAACTTTATTATTTTATTCACAAAACTGCAACTGTCTAGATGTAACAAAAAAATTGCTAATTTTAGACAAAATTTAAAAATGGATCAGAAACATTCTCCATTTCAGTAATTTACAGCTAAAATGTGAATTTCTCTCTTCAATTCTCAACAGTTAGTAGTTTAATGAGTACACTATTGCAATAAATAAATAGATTCTTAAGGATTTTGCAATACTAATACATGATATTTAAACACTTTCTATCCAAAGATTATTAAATAAAATAAATAGTGTAAACTATGCCTTTGATTTAATATTCTTGGATAAGCTTTTCAACTGATTTAATATCTTTGGATAAAGTTTTAAAATTATTTTTTGTCAAAATATATAAAAAATATATAACTATGCCAAAAAGTATGTCAGAATATTAAAATACAACTGTATTTTTCAAAATATTAAATCATTTTAATAGCTTTTACAAAAATATTAAATTAAAAGCTTATATATTGCAAATTCGCAGTTATGTGAGTCCCAGCCCCACTGAACATGCGAGTGCTTCGTCAATTAAACCTTGGTTGGAATGTTCCTAAACATGGCTAGGTTTCTGTATAGTTACCGCCAGTCTAGCCTTGTTTTTCTAGGAAGTTTCCGCATCTTTAAAATAATACAATAAATCAGAGTGCAGGAGATTCACACTTATTCTATAGGCTGAATTCACTCACACTTGGAAATCAGTTTAAAGATTTGTGATATTCACTGTAACGGCTAGACGGCTAATAACTAAGCTCAGTAAACAAATCTAGGGAAAAAAGCAGCCTTAAACATGTCAATTATAGCTGCAACCAGCAACACTTTATAAGATAATCAGTACAAATCACAAAGAAGACATGCCAAGGTCTATAAGACGTGAGACTGAGAATCTCCTGGGTACTTTTTTAATGTATTTACTCTCCGCAGCGCATGGGGTGGAGAAAGAAAAGAGCCCACTAGACCTATATTGCTTTTTTCTGAGCGTTCCGGAGGTTCTCACTTTTTTGCTAATTTTTTTTTATATTGTATGGTAGTCAGTCATCTCAGTCTGACTGTATGCCAATCCTGTAGATTATATAACTATTATATTGTATTTTCAGTGCTACAGGGAAAGATCACTGCATATAAAGAGTTATTTTTACTTGTGCACTTTTCTAGGGAGACCAGGTGTAGCTCCAGAAAAATTACCTTTATGTGCCCTTGAAACCTCAGTGCCATTTGTGAATACAGAATGACATTGTGGTTCCTCTAGTTTACTACGGAGATTCCTCCAGTGAGAAGTGTTTAATAATAGGCATAACAGCAGAGTTACACCTGGTAGTAAATAGCATTTTTAGAGTAACTTTGCTGCCATGCCAGTTTAAATCCCAAGATCGCTTAGTGAATCAATGTGGATTATTTGTGGCTCTGTCCAGATTGTTGTGCTCTTTGATGAAGTTCATAGTTCTCTGACTGGCTTGATAGTCGTCTAATGTTTGGTCTTGACTGGATTCCATGCTCAGGGTCTCGGACCATGGAGAGACGTGTAGGGTTCCACCACCTTGAATGTGTAAAGTAGGCAGGATAACTCTCTACAGTGTAGGTGGCAGAGGTCCTTGCACAGGCCAAGAACTGGAGGGGAAAGACATTAGGAGAAAAGTGTTAGGGAAACTCACTGACAGTTAATGTTGCGGCGGATGAACTATATAGAAAATGGTGTCCAGACTTCTTAGTATGACTTTTAAGACATGAGAAATATCTAGGATATAATTTTAGCTGCCCATCAGACATATTGTTATTGGAAAGAATGTGTTATTTGTTAATGTGTTAATAAGGTAATTTAATATAGAGATAGTGTTACTGAAATAAATGCCGTGGACGTATTAAAGTTTCGAAAAATGAATTGGGTAATGCTTAGTACAAGTTATTAATGATTAAAGTCATAATTAACATTTGTCAGCTGAACATAAATCAGTGGTTACAGGTTGCTGTTATTGGCTTCAGCAATTTCGGTTCAGAAATATTTAAAACTGTCATTTATTTAAGACAAATACTTACTCCAAACAGCAATCCCAAGATTAAGGCAACTCCCAGAATTGCTACTAATCCCATCAAGATAATACCCCAGTATGGAACTGTAAGAAAGCAGAAATGATTATTACAAAAGTAAGCCCATAATCATATAGTGTATCTGTGAATTTACCTGCCAGTTCAGAGCTGGCGCTTCTCCTGACTTGTCCCACCCACATATATTTTGAGGGTTTTTTTAAACTCCACTTCCAGTTTATGATTTTCAAAACAAGTGTTGGCCCTCAAAAGCCAGAGGTAATGAGTCATACTCAGTCTGCCGCTGAATGAATTAGATACAGTATTACCCTGAGTAGCTGTGTTTTACTGCTGATGGGGATTATCCATATACTGAACACATTGTACAGAAACACTGTCTATATGTCATTGATAATGGATACACTTTGTACATTGATATTTCATATCTCACCTGCAAGTTGGTCAGAAGTGGTTTCGGTAGTGCTCTGGGTCGTGGCACTGTTCCCTCCAGCGGAGGCTGCAGATAGAATTATTATATGTGAGACTGCATATATATCACACAACATATTGGTCATATTCACTAAAATGGAAACTGTGGAGAATTGGTTCTAGATTCTTCCCATTTCAGCCAAGTGACTAATAATTTGTCATTGAGAATTGCCAGTATAACCTTGATAGTGAAGATTCCAACAGTTTATTCTACATTTAGGCCTTTACCGTACATTGCTCTGTATGCCTCAGCTCCAGGCATGTAAAGATTACTGCGAGGGTTAGTAACTACTAAGTATTGTTGGGAAAGTGAAATTTTAGTTGATGAGCAAAATAGTCAAACTCGAAAACCAGCTCCAAGTTTAGCTTCCAGTCCAGTTATTTGGCCTTCAATTGAAATAACCCTGTATAGCGAATAACCCTGTGTAGCGAATAACCGGGTAAAGAGAATAACCCTGTATAGTGAATAGCCCTGTATAGTGACTAATCCTGTATAGTGAATAACCGGGTATAGAGAATAACCCTGTATAGCGAATTATCCTGTATAGCGAATAACCGGGTATAGAGAATAACCCTGTATAGAGAATAACCGTATATAGAGAATAACCCTGTATAGTGAATAACCCTGTATAGTGAATAACTGGGTATAGTGATTAACCTTGTATAATGAATAACCCTGTATAGCGAACAATCCTGTATAACGAATAACCGGGTATAGCGAATAACCGGGTATAGCAGATAACCCTATATAGAGAATAACCATATATAGTGAATAACCGGGTATAACAAATAATCCTGTATAGCAAATAACTAGGTATAGTGACTAACCCTGTATAGCGAAAAACTCTGTACAGCAAATAATCCTGTACAGCGAATAATCCTGTATACGAATAACTGGGTATAGCGAATAACCAGGTATAGCAGATAACCCTGTATAGCGAATAATCCTGTATAGTGAATTATTATTATTATTATTATGCCATTTATATAGCGCCATCAAATTCCGCAGCGCTTTACAACGGGTGGACGAACAGACATGTAGCTGTAACCAGATAAGTTGGACACACAGGAACAGAGGGGTTGAGGGCCCTGCTCAATGAGCTTACATGCTAGAGGGAGTGGGGTAAAGAGGGAGTGGGGTAAAATGACACAAAAAGGTAAGGATAGTATTAGACTAGTCACAGTTGCAGAAGAGGTGTCAGTCGGGAGCTAGTAACAGTTTAATTGATACGCTTTTATGAAGATGTGGGTTTTTAAATTTTTTTTGAAGGAGTGGAGACTGGGTGAGCATCTAACGGAGGAGGGAAGTGAGTTCCACAGGAACGGTGCAGCCCTCGAGAAATCTTGAAGGCGAGCATCAGAGGTGGGAGTACGGACAGAAGATAGACGTAAGTCTTCAGCAGATCGTAAGGGCCTAGACGGGACATACATTTGTATAAGGGAGGATAGATAGGTGGGAGCAGCATTATGTAGAGATTTGAAAGCAAAAAATTGAGCTCTATGTCTTATAGGAATCCAATGTAGGGAATGACAGAACGGTGAGGCTTGGGAGGTGCGGGTGGACAGGAAGATGAGCCTCGCCCCCGCATTGATTATGGACTGTAATGGTGCAAGTTGGGAGCACGTAAGACCACTGAGAAGCGAATTACAGTAGTCAAGGCGAAAAAGGACAGTGGAATGGACCAACACCTTAGTCGCATCTGGCATTAAGTAGGGGCGGATGAGCGCAATGTTTTTGAGATGGAAATGACAGGATTTGTCGATAGACTGAACATAAGGGTTGAAGGAGAGGTCGGAGTCAAAGAGAACACCTAGGCAGTGAGCCTGCGTGGTGGAGCTGATGGTAGCACCATTGACTTGGAGGGAGACAGACACAGGAGGTAACAACACTTGGGGGAGGAAAGACAAGAATTTCAGTTTTGGTTGAGTTTAAGGAAGTGGGCAGCCATCCAGTTAGAAACAGCAGAGAGGCAGTCAGAGACACTAGTCAAGAGGGACGGGGAGAGATCAGGAGAGGACAGGTAGATATGCATGTCATCGGCATAGAAATGATATTGGAAGCCAAAGGAGCTAATGAGTTTACCAAGTGAGGCAGTATAGATGGAGAACTGTAGGGGACCAAGGACTGAACCTTGGGTGACACCAACAGAGAGGAGTGGGGGAGAAGAAGCAGAGTCAGAGAAAGAAACACCAAAAGAGTGCTGGGAGAGGTAGGAGGAGCACCAGGAGAGAGCAATATCTTGTAGGCCGATATTGCGGAGAATGAGAAGAAGCTATTGATGATCAACAGTGTCAAAAGCCACAGACAGGTCAAGGAGAATTAGGATAGAGTAGTGACCACAAGATTTTGCAACAAGTAGATCATTGGATACTTTGGTCAGTGCCGTTTCAATGGAGTACTTAGCGTGGAAACCAGACTGAAGCGGGTCTAGCAGTTGGACTCGAGGAAATCTGTCAATCTCACATACACAATTCTTTCAAGGATCTTGCATGCAAAAGGCAGTAGCAAGAATGGACGGTAGTTGGATGGGGAGTAAGGGTCAAGGTTGGGCTTCTTTAGAATTGGGGTTACAGTTGCATGTTTGAAGGGCAATGGACATATACCAGAGGAGAGAGAAAGATTGAGAATTTTAGTGAGAGGTAGAGAAAGAGAAGAAGACAAAGTACCTCTTCCAATGTAGCGGGTGCAAATGAACATAGAACAGCAGAGGGAGTGAAGTTAGGGGAAGTATTGTAAGGGGAAGAAAAAAGATTAGAGATCTCTTCCCTGATTGTAGAGATATTGTCAGTGAAGTGAGTTGCAAAGTCTGAGGCTGTCAAGTTAGTAGGTGAAGGAGGAAAAAGCTGGCGAAGGAGAGAGTTAAATGTGTGAAATAGTCGTTTGGGTTCGTGGGAGAGTGTGGTTATGAGTTTATTGAAGTAATTTACTTTTGCAGAGGAAAGAGCCAAGCTGTATGAGCACAGCATAAATTTATAGTGGAGAAAGTCAGACGCACAGTGAGACTTTCTCCAACAGCGTTCAGCAGTTCTGGAGCATTTTTGGAGGTATTGAGTGAGCTTGGTGTGCCAGGGTTGTTGTTGGGGGCGCCTGCGGCATTTAAATGTAGAAGATGCCATGATGTCTAGTTGAGAGGAGGGTGTGGAATTATAGAAGGAGGTTGCAAAACTAGGACAGGTGAGGTTTGAGATAGGTAAAAGGAGCGTTTGGAGATTAGGGGAAAAATGCTCTAGGTCAAGACATTGGAGGTTTCTGTGAGAGTGATGTTCAGATGGTGGTGTCAATTGGGTCTTAGGTATGCCAATGTCAAATGTCAGCAGATGCTGGTCATATAGAGGAAAAGGAATATTGGAGAGATTAGAGGCAGTACAGAGGTAGGTGAAGGCAAGATCAAGAGTGTTTCCCGCTGTATGAGTTGCTAAATTGGACCATTGCGTA